TAAAAGTTAACACCATTTTGGTGTGATTCATTTGGCTGACAATGAGAATGAAATGGGAGCGCCTTCATTCACATGCTCCAACGCTGACTGCACGTGGTGAATTACATTTTAATGAGCTTCTAATTTTAGTGTGCGCGCCAGTAATAATAATAGACTTGATGAATATTTATGTTCCTCGTTTGAAGTTCAGAGACATGAGGAAGAGGAGGGAATAGTGCATACATCCAACTGCTTCACACAGAAATGGTGTCAGACACACAGCCGCTTTAGCCTGTCTAAGATAGAACTACATGTGTTAAAAACATTTAAACAGATACAAAGTGACCTCACTTACTGTAAACAATATGTCTATGCAACAAAATAAATCACGTCTGCTAAATATTACATTGATATGATCTTCAAAATGCGTATGCTAAATCTTTCTCTGGCGGGTTTTCCAGGATAAATTACAGCAGCACACATTCCCCCAGAGTGCAGAAATGGTCACATTTCTGACAAACACGATGACCGGTAAAAACGCGATGCAGTCGAAGCTTCATGCTCTCTCAGCTTACCCATGGTGCCGTTGAGGGGAATCACTGTGCCAAAAAAAAATCGCCGTTTTCTAGTCCTTAAAATGTAGCGACGACTGTCCGCATCTCCTGGAAAAAAGGAATAAGCAGCCGACCTTCAGCACCGCGGACAGCTCCCGTCCTCACAACACGCTGCCTGCCTGCCTGCCGGACAGCGGCTGCTGGAAACACCGTGAAGGTTACACCGGGGACTCAACGGACAATATCCGATCCGACAAAACCAATCTACAATCGTTACACTGGATCCATCCAACCGTGCAAAACAATCCTCAATGTCAGTAAGAAGGAGCCGAGCTGTAACGCGTCAAATCACGCTGTTTCCCAGCACCGCTGCACGAGTTCCTCTGTGCACCCTGAGTTGATGAGAGCTCATTACATATGCGGCGCGTCCAGCTCGACAGCCCGACACAGAGGAGCAGCGCGGCTACGCAGACGGCTGGCTGCACTGCTTTACGTTGAGCGCTAACAGTCACACTAAGCCATTTCCGACCCAGCCTGTGCATCGAGTGCCCACATTCAAGCTGCATTAGTAACACAACCCAGCTGCTGACATCGCCACAGTTAGGTAGCCTGGTTCTCTTTATGTTGTCAGACAACTGCAGGACTATGGAGCAATGAGGTCACAACATGTGAAGAAAGCTGCGATCACGTGTTTTAGGAATACTTTTCTCGCATATGTGGGTAAAAAAAAGCCTTGGAAATGTTCACGTTAGAAACTGTAAGATAATTTCCAATTTTAAGTTGCTTAGCACCAGGGAATTATTGAGCCATACAATGACCATATCAATTAGGAATTAATTAGAATTGGGAGTAGTGGGTATTGCCAAAACAAATCAAGCTCCCAACTTAGCTATCTGACAGGTAGAAGTATTTTCAAGTGAGCTTATGCCCATCATCTTTCCTACCTGCAGCATAGGTAGGGTAAAGCTAAATATGTTACCCTTTAAAAGTCCTTGTGAAGCCAATTTGGAGAATGCAAACAAAGAAAACTAAGATACAAATGCACATCCTTTGGTTTTCAAACTCTGCAGCATATATATACCAAAATAAATCATTTCAACAGAGATTTCCGATCATTTTCAACAAATTATAACACATTTAATAATATTGATTGACAGTCATTGAAAGAAACATACTCTAAAATTAAATTCAGTTATCTTTATGTTGGTAATTTCGGAGAGCCCTAACCCATAATATGATTTCAACTAATCTCCCTGTTGTCCTTCACAGATATATGTATTATTGGCTATTCACTAAAATGCTGTTTTACACCGAACAAGAACCCTATAAAGAGCTGTAGTACTTTGCATTGTTTAGTAGAAACGTTAAGGGGCCAAAAAGCACATGTAATGTCTTCCAGAGTCACACATGACTTTCTCCCAAGAGACAGTTGATTCCTCAGGCCCTTTTGAAGCAACATCAGAGGAAATGAGGGGCTCCACTGCTACAAGGAGGTACTCTAAAGACTTCACAACACTGACACACAGTTTATCTATGCCAAAGGGATTTTATATTTGTCCCTCCTAAGTGTCACACTTTGTTTTTTCAAGTATCGACTGTAGAGGCTGTAAGCCAGTTGGTGCAATGAATGAGCAGTGATTGTTATCACAACAGGTATTCTATCAGCGTTGTTGTATCAATTATTCAGCTTGTTGTGATAAGGCACAGGGAAATCAAATGAGTAGATTCATCTCAACATTACGTTACATTAACGAGCAGAGCTGCGAGTCATTTTGGTCAGAGCTTTCACTCCTTTAGGGGCAGTTTAACTCTCAGTCCCTCTAGATCATATTCCAGTGTGCCATAGCTGTGCTACCGGTCGCAGACATAGAGACTTGTAAATATTCAATGGTGTTTCGCAGAACAAGATCTCTCTCGCCACTGTTGTCACCATCTGTGAGAGAGGGAAAGAGTAGACGGATGGAAAAAGGGCAGGTTTCACCACTGCCACCTCTTTCACTGACACACAATATTTCAGACAAGCTGGTTTGGGACACCAACATGTGGCAGAGTAATCAAAGCTTCTGTCCATCTGCCACTACAGGCATGAACACACAAAACAAATCAGCAACAATCAATATCACAAAAGTCCTTGTAAAGTACTGTGTATCACAAACTCACAATTAAAGCCCTGTGTTTTCTGGTTTGGCTAATATTGTTCAGCTAGCATAAAACATTTAAAAACCACTATACACTACTGATATATTGATAATATAATGACAACCAAACAATAAGTACATTTACATCTGGGTTGATAACATGCACAATGTCTGTGCAATGCCCTAGTTTGGTAATGATAGGGGAAAGCGTTTAATCTGGCATCATGGTGGTGACATTCTTACTCAACACATACGCAATATCGAGGTCGGCAACAATGATCAAGGTCGTATCTTACCGTTAGTCGATCAAATAAAAAGGATTTAGGTCATTTCTTTGTATCATACGGCTGATGATATATATATTGTGACAATATTATTTTATTGTACAGGGCTTTTTGCTTACTATCTTTGTCTATTTTGCTCACAGCTGCTGTAACAGTTACATTTCCCATAGGGTTAAGGTTTTCTCTTTCTCTCTTTCTGCACAGAACTGAAAGAGAATCTTTTCATCTGATCTCAGCTAAAAGACAACACGTCTTCACCGCCCCAAGCTGACCCTGTCCACTCCCTATATCTGCTGTCAGCAAGAAGACACCATACTGTACATATGACTGCATGACTACTGAAGTAACCCACCTTTTTTAAAGCCCTCGCCACCTCTTCTGCTCATTTGAATGCTAGCTCTCTGTTCCGCTCTAACCATCTAAACCTCTGTATCCTGCTATAAACGCTTACTCTGCTTTCCTGTTGATGACACGTCTATGAATACCAATATGTTGGACTTTCTGAAGCCACATCTGCAAAAGTATTTTAATGATGGTATTGTTGTCAAACACAGAGAGTGACTCTTCTGGACTTTGATGGAATCTTTTTTTGCAGTATGATAGTATACACAACTATACATCAGCATCCCCGGTCTTCATGGTGAGTAGACGTCCAGGGCCAGGAGCCTGGGGTACCACCAGGTAAATAGCTGCCATTGCCTCAGTGGCACATTCCAGGGCTCCTCTGCCAATGCCCCCACTGTCACTCGCCAGCCTGCTGCCACTGTTATTACTCAACACCATCTGTACAACAAGGTAACCGATCCCCTAGCTATTATTTCCAGCGAACAATGGCAGCCTGTACAACTGGGGTCTTGGCAATGGAGGGAGTAGCAGTGCAGAGGTCTCTCCCAGTGTTCCTGCTGCTCCGCTGTTTGGATCCAACCTGCTTCTATGTTCTTCCCTCCAGCGTGGCTTATAACGGTAAAACATTTGTAGTTACCATTTGATAGACAACACCTAGCATGGCGTCAATAAAACAGCTATTGCTCATTTATGTCATACATGGACAAGGACAATAATACGACCCCCCTAATAGGTTCATCCGACTGTGTTTTTGCTACTAACTAAACAAATACAGCATAAAATATATACATGATCTCCAAGGGCATTCAACCAGTCATTATAGTTTCTTTTTCGAAACTATTATTGTTCAATAGAACACACGTAAGACTGCATTATATCATTGAATTGTGAACGTTCCTATTTGGTGTGGGATTTCCTTTACAATCTTTGGTGATTTCTTATCGATCAAAACCTTTGCTACTAATTGTTTTGTTAAAGGAAAACGACTTCCCTCAACTCCTTGTTGGAGAAAGTATTATTAAAAAGCAATATAAATCAGCAAATGGAGGGATACTAATCAAAATGATTGATAAATGAAAAGTGATCAATAATTATGATCTCAATAATGATCCAAATAATCGCGAAAATCATTTTGGAAATAATCGACCAACCCAATGTTTGAAGAGAGGTACAATTGGAATTCCAAAATGATGCTTACATTGGCACTCCGGTGTTGAGTTTTGCATAAAGGACTACAAAAGGTCAAAATCTTTGCAGCAGATGGCTACGTCTAAAAAGGCTGGATGCCACCATTTCCAATATTGCAACACCATCGTTTATTTCATTATACTCTCCATGCCTAGTAAACAACCATCTCTTTCAAACAAGCTAGGCTTTCTGTTTCAAACTTAAACATAGAAGACAGGTCTTCAGGGTTACATTTTTCACAAAAAGGACATTATATATGACTATTTTAACAGTCTGAGTAATACTTCCCATGATTTTAATTGCATATTACCCTCTTTTTTTTCATTTAGCTAGTGTTTATTCAGAGTTGATCCCAGCATACAATGGTAGACTCACAGTCAGACACTAATCAGTTGTTTTGTTTCATGTCATTCTTGGCTGCTGTATGTGTACATATACATATCACAGTATTTCATGAACAATGTGTGTGTTGAGACACAGTCCCAAGAAACGCAGTAAAAGGATTTGCTAACCACTTTGTCCTCCTGTTGCAATTCCATGAGAGCAGGAATGCAGCAGAAAGAAAGAAATAGGGAGACAGAGGGGGAAGGGGCGGCAAAGATAGGGAGGGAGAAATTGTGAGTGGCATTAGTAGGTCCTGGTAGTACTGTCACATACTCAACAGCAGAGGATTGGATGGCATCGCATAAAAAACGTTCAAGCTCATGATTCAAATGTAAGCAGTCTAATACTAAAAGCTTTGGCTTAGTCTGTGGGGAGGATTCTACAGAGGTTAGTTAGGCACTGGAGTGCCACATTATACAATAACAGCTATGAGGGTCTTTTATGGGAAAAGAAAAGGAGGAATAGTTCCCTCCAGTGGTGAAAGAGCATAACTATAATTTACAGTAAACATGAATAAGACATCTGGAGCTGTGAATGAACACATAAGAGTGAATAGATTTAGAATAAAGGCATGTCATGCAGAGAGTCTCTGGAGTAGATGTTGTTAATCTGGAAAACATTAGTTGCCATTAGAGACACCGCTGGCTCTATTCCCAGATTAAGATTCCGCTGCAATGTTTCATAACCTTGGATTTAAAATAGTAACATCGGGAGAAATCTGCCTGAGGGGGGGGGACATCTGCATGTGTGTGTGTGTGTGTATGTCCTTATAAATGGGGTACCGTGCATGCAAGCCAGTGTTACCTTATTTGACCGCAGAGACACTCGTCCTCCGCACCGAGCACAGAATTTCGTTTGGCAATATGAACAGAGGTGGCCACAGCCATCGGCAAACTTGGTTTTGTGGCATATCCCGCAGGTTGGGGCTTCGCTCTTCAGGTCCTGAGCCGGCTTAGTCTCCTCCCCCATCTTCTTAACCTGGTCCTTATACGATTCAAACTGCTGGTGCAACTTCCTGTAAGCCAATGGGAAGGACAAAGGTTAGGAAAAATAGATACGGTTTGTAACCTATAAAAAACAATGATGTATATGATTCTGTTCATTTCTTTATTGCTTCTTTGTATAGGGAATATACACAGGTATATAGCAAGAGCCAATGCTACATAGGCCTGTATGTCAGAAGAATCTGGCCACACATAGAAATACAAGGATTTATATTCAATATATTGGGATTTATTGTGTTTTATTAGACGAGTAGGATCTTCATTTCCATTTATCACAGTAGGTAAACAAATTAGGTACATTTTAGACAAATATGTTTATGATCTGAGTTAGATAACAATCTTTGTGCACCGGAACTATCCCTCCTTGCAACCAGTCTGATTTAGTCTTAATCATACTTACCTAGACAATAAGCCCTTATAATGATAATAGTAATAAATGATATTTCTATAGCGCTTTTCTTGAACCCAAAGACGCCGACTGACTGACTAACTGATAAAACCTTGGACTTGTTCAGTGTGAGATTGTGAAAGGTAAATCAGACACCATGACCTCAGAATCCTCAAAGCTGAGTGGCTACTTTGATAGTGCACCTCTCCAACAACGGGGTTGGGGGGTGGAAGGGATCAAATTTACTTTGCAAGTTTAAGAACATCACTTAATTCCACTTTCTCAGGTTCCCATGCGTTAAATGAATCATTTGCACCTGTGTTTCTATATCAGGACCAGGCCCAGACTGGCCATCGGGAGGACCGGGAGGTTTCCCGATGGCCTGGCCTGTTAAGTGGCCTGGCCGTTTTTTTTGTATGTATTGTGAATGTGAACGCAACACTGCGCAAATGTGGGTCAGCCTCACAGAGGGGGACTGTCTGTCTACATGATGTGGCCTGCACACATGGCCACTTCCATACCGATCATAAATCAAAGCCTTCGATTGGTTTCTGTTTGTCATTCAAGCTCGGGAGGGTGTGTGTATGTGTGGGGCGAGTGAGAGAGAGAGAGAGAGAGAGAGAGAGAGAGAGAGAGAGAGAGAGAGAGAGAGAGAGAGAGAGAGAGAGAGAGAGAGAGGAGAGAGAGAGAGAGGGAGAGAGGAGGAGAGAGAGAGAGCGGGCACCGGTTACTTGTATTTTTGTTGTTAGCATCTGGTTAGCTAGCTGCTCTAACAGATATAAGGAGCTGTTTCAACAACAAGGTGGAGGGAGAGTCCTCTGCTGTCAGACTGAGAGAGGCAAACAGCTCAGGTGAGGTAAAGGACTCTCTGAGTGTTTAAATAGTTAACTTAGTCTAAGTTCTCAGTGGGTCTCAAACGGTTTGGTCACCATTTATGTAAACACATATTTCCATTTGAGGGGGTAGTGACACTGATTAGTAAAATATGCATGAATAAAAAGAAAAATATGTTAAATAGGTGAAAAAAGGTAAGATAAACTTTAAAAACTTGTTGAGAGCTAAAACGAGTCTTTGCTGCTGCCTCAAAGAGGAGCAGGGGGAGAGGGGGGAGAGGAGGGAGACAGGTGACAGACACACACAACTATAAATGAACCAAAAATAAATAAATAAACAACGTTCCATCTTTTTTTTATATATATATATATATATTTTTTTATAAATAGTAACCCCTGTCCATATGTTTATTATTGGGTAGTAGATTTAAACTATAGGGCTATCACTATGGGGGGCAACGCTGTAAATATTCACAAATAAATCCAGCAAAACGGCACAAAAAAAGAAGAAAACTGGTAGTGGCCTGGCTAGGTGTATAATTCCCAGCCTGACTTATTGTCCCAGTCCGGCCCTGATCAGGACTGTTGTAAGGGTAGACAGAGCACATCCTAGGGCCATACTGTTGGATAATGACATTACCAATACAGACCAGTTACTTCTCTACTGGAAATATTTGGCCATACACACACGATAGCTCCTCATCCATTAATCATTTGTCAGTGAAGTTCCATACTTGTATTACCACTTGTGTCCTATAGATGGCCCCCTACCGATACAGTACACCTGATCTTGTACAGTAGATCCTTAACTCCTAACGAGTCCTGAGAGGCTACTAAAAACTAACCTGCATGAACTCTTCACATGCATTTTGTATGACACATGTCAATTGAGCATCTCCTTGGAAACTAAACACTGGGCTGACTTCATAATATGGCGATTAGAATTGGTTTCGACCCACATATCTCCTGCAACATTCATTAGCACTTGTGAATTATTGAACAACGCTATCCTTTTACCACATACAGCTCTGCGTTTGAGATGAACGTGCTTCCTTTACCCACAACCAGACCTTTCAGGCCCAAATGTAAGGGCCACACATCACCTGCAGACCATCTGTGTGTGCGGTTGTGTGAGCGAGTCGCAATGCCATCTAAATATTAGATAGAGTGCCATTGAAATGCCCCCCTGTTGTACCCACTGAGGGATTAAAGGGCTAATTGTGTCACAGCCTTTGTGTGTTTACCAAGCAGAGATTAGTATGTATCCTTGTTTAACAGATCACAAATCTCATTTACTGACAGCAGAGTGATGAAGACACTGTCTCCGAGGATCACGAAAAGAAGACCACAAACAATCTTGTTTTATTCTCTCTTAATCTCCCTTTACACTCAAACATTTACAGAGACATGAGCTCGATCCCAGGCCGCTACAGGCCACACTGCTCTATTGACAGACAAGGTCAGTGAGAAGAGCTGTTTAAGATAACCAATGATTACCTCTCATTTTCTCTGTATCAGGTCACCTTTCTAAAGCTCAATCCCCTCTGTGGGGGGCTAAATAGAAGTTATAAAAAGCCATTTCTAAAAGCCATTTTCACAGGTGAGTTTTACAGGTTTGTTTATGTTTTTAAATATGTTGATTCTAAGCTGCCAACTGAGGCAAAATTGAATGTAACAGAAAATAAATGAGTTAAAAAAACATGACTATAAAAACACAGTAAGAGTAAGAGTAGATTTGAGTGGGTGCAGGCAGCTGGTACACAGTGCCCATTCCAGAGAGGGTTTGCTTATTTGGTCAAACACGGTCAAATGTAGGTGACACTGCTGACGAGTAATCATACGCTGCTCATTGTCCCATCCCAGGCTTGCGTAACGGAGCTCTCTTACCTCTGGGCCGCACCATAGCAGCTACACAGCCAGTAACCTGAGCCTCTCTCTTGGACATATGACAGACCCAACAGCAGCGAGGGTCAACTACACGCTCTCTGCAAGCTTCTGGATTCCACTTGTGCCACAAACTGCACACTGTCTGAGCTCAATTTTAACTCCTCCATCATCCCATGTTGGCACCGAGGGCATAGACATGGCAGTGTATTAACGGGCTTGTGTGTGTGTGTGTGTGTGTGTGTGTGTGTGTGTGTGTGTGTGTGTGTGTGTGTGTGTGTGTGTGTGTGTGTGTGTGTGTGTGTGTGTGTGTGTGTGTGTGTGTGTGTGTGTGTGTGTGTGTGTGTGTATTAATAGCGGCCATTAAAAAGGAAATTTGCACCTTGTGTTTATGTTTTAAGCACTTCACAACCATTATAAATAACTACAATCTTTTACCTTAGTAAAAGTATTACCCATATTAAAAAAAGTTAGTTAAGTAAAAGTACAAAATTATAGGCCATTTTCACATGCCATTGCAGGTAACACAGGTGTAATTGATTATAATTAATAATGGTACGGTTCCATTTAGTGTTTCACAGACATTCCATTGAGCCAACTTGTACAATGCCAGGCATGGCCCACCTAAATGGACAGAGCCATAATTAATGTAATTAATTACACCTGTACACCCTGCAATGACGTGTCAAATGGCTGCTGTGAAAATGGCATAAAGAACTTAAAGTATCAAAACTAAAGCAGAATGGCTCCTTTCAAATAATTACATTATTATAGAATAACATTATTATTGTGTCTGTGCAAGAGCATTTTAATGTTGGAGACGTGGAGCTAATTTAGCATTTTAGCATAAGCATATCCTATGTTGTAAATAGTAACTAATATCAGTAACAGTAAGCATCAAATACATATAGTAGGGTACAAAAAACAATATAAGTAAGAGCAAATGTACCTAGCATTAGTTATACACCACTGTAACATTGTATAAGAAAGCTTTCAAGCTCTTAACTTAAAGCTAATTTAAGCTAATAGCAGCCACTGGGCATAACGTCAACAATAACATAATTAAATCATACCCAAGCCCTGGAAATATGTTTTTATGTCTTGCAAGCTAGCTAAAAAGTGCATATTTGCACACGAAACAGACGCAAGTGTAATGTTTACATTGGTTCTGCTATCGTTTGCTCTCCACACTCTTCTGATAAAAAATATCTGTTTTTAGCTTGCTAGCTCTACTGTCCAAGCTAGTTGCTAGCTTTGTGTGGCTGCTGCCTTTTTCCATATGTATACATATCACGTATGGAATGCATTCAATTGAGTTACACCTGTGCTATTTCTACTATGACAAGTCAAAAATCACTCCCCTGTTTATGTTGTTGTGGATATATACAACTAAATAAGTAATTTTGTTTGAATTCTCCAAAATGCACTATAGTTCGATATTATATTGAGTAATTAATTTCTCCTTTTTTACAGTTTTCCTTAGGTAGATGGTAGGTGCTATGTAAAAGTATGTGACTTCTTGACCTTTTTCTGTCACTTGTTACTTTTTCATTAGATGGATTATTCTTGCAGAATTATGTGTGTGCAAATAACCTAAAATACTTTTTTTCTTCTTGACTTTAATATATTAGTATTGGTACAACCCCTCAAAGCTATACCATTATGGCACACCACTCCCATATTGCCACTTTCCACGCTTTATGCTTTTTACAAACACACTGAGAAATTGTGTAACATAGTTCAATATCCACTCAGGTCAAACATACTCTGCGTGCAGCTCCTGGGATTACCACTGTATGTTTGTGCCTGCTGTAAGGAGATCAGAAGGCGTCTGCACTATTACTTACGCGTCTGGCTCTGGCTCCTTGTCATTTTGGGACTTTTGCTGGGGCTGAAGGACGTTATT